TATTTAATAAAATCAGTTTTTATTCAGTAAGTTACTCCGAGCATGAATTAATACCTGGGGGAGCAAACAACTGTGCATATCTCTCTATCAGTGTTCTAGAGGGCGAACAATTTGAGTTTGTCCTGCATAAGCTTTATGCAGGGTAAAACGGATTTATCTGGGTTTAGACCCCGTTGGGAGTTGGGCATCTGAGTGCTAAAGACAAGCACACTTCTGTGAGCTGTTTTCAGGTAAACTTGCAGCTTTGGGCAAGTGATTCAGACCCTGGGTCTGTGTTGGAGCAGACGGGAGTGTCTCGCTCACCAAGACAGGATGCTGGAGTCCTGAGCTGGCAGGGAAAACAGAAGCAGGGGTAGTCTTGGTACGTCGGGTGGCAGCTCCCAAGGGGGTTTCTGTGATCCAACCCGTCACAGATTCCATTTGTCTTAAAAATGTATAGTTTCTTCCTCCTAATTCCAGATTCTTCCCAGAAGTTCCACTGACACTGAAAGTGCTGGCTGGCACAGGAGAATTGCCACAGTTCTTGGCTTTGACACCACCTTTGATGATGATGGCAAGCTTTTGCATCCAGTTTGCCTTGTATGTTCTGTCTTGCAGATAGACTGAAAGATTAGAGAGAAGATTGTCCTTGTTTTTTTGCTTGATGTGCCCAGTGCAACAATAGTACAGTAAATTTAAATGGCTCAGTAACTTTATGCAATGTTTGTATATGCAAGAAAAGTTATCTGAAACATGTAATAGGTGACATACCCAAACGGGTGAGTGTTGGCAGATGGTTTCCGTTCTTGAGAGAAGGGTGGGATGGACATCCTGGTATTGTATTGCAAAGAAAACAATAACACTTCTATTTTATTTTTGTCCACGTATGAGTGGCTGCTTACAAGAGGGATCACTTTTCCTCTGTAGAAGCTGTTGTGAACACTTTGCTTATCATTACTACCCATAATATCTCCTCTTATGATTAAGGTACTTATTTTCTTCTGTGGGTAGCTTAGTGTGTCATAAAAAATTTTTTGTGTGTCCTTTTCAAGGTGCTGCATTTCTACTGTGACACTTGTTCTGTCCCTATCTGCCGGGAATGCACCATGGGACGACATGTGGGTCATAGCTTTATCTACCTCCAAGATGCCCTCCAGGATTCCAGAACCCTCACCATTCAACTGCTAGCAGATGCTCAGCAAGGACGCCAGGCTATTCAGGTAAGTCGCTCACGTGGTTAAAAGAATCTTCCCTTTTGTCTACCACCAGCTGTGCCTGCTGCTACAATGTCCCCTGTGTGTGAAGGGCAAAAAGCCTCTCCTTTCAGCATCCCCTATCCTCTATCCCATCCTCTCCCTTGTTGCATTAGGTGATGGTCTTTTCATTATTCAGGAAGGAACTTCCTTGTCAACAGCAAATCAAAGGAAATGCCAACACACTATTCACATGCATCTTTGTTGCATCATCCTTTCATAAATAGGGACATCATGCTGTTTCCATGTGAGACTGTGCACAATTTGACATGTAACTTGTTCTAGGCTCAAAGTTCTGATCTTGTAAAGCTATCTTGGTTTGGAGGTGGCACATGCCTCATTGCGGCTGTATAACTGCCAACAACTATCTCCAGCTTTTCAGAACAGGGACTATCTCTTAGTATGGTTCTGACCAGTGACTAGCACAATGGGTCCCCCAGCATGGTTTGGAGTTTTGGGCAGTGCCACATGACAAGTAGTAAGCATCAGCTACTTGGATTAGCATGATCAGAATTCCACTCTGTGTGGGTGAGGTGGGGACCGATTACAAATATAACCTTCTCAGAATAGGAACACGGATGAATTTAAGCAGAGTGTGGGTGAAGGCATTTCTGCATTCAAGGATCATAAAGCATTTTGTATGAAAGGTGTTATAGAATTAAATAGTGCCACTTCTATGGTGGAATGCAGCAGCTGTTCAACAGCACACAACAAGTCTAAATACAGGACAAGGATGGAAGAAAATTACCATACCCTTTCAAACTACAGGAAAAACTTTGGTAGGCAGAAGGGAATTTGACCAGATACACAGGTAAGGACCCAATTCAGCCATCCTTACTCACCTGTAGAGTAGGTACCTGACTCTAAGGGAATCCTGCTGATGTCAGTAGAACTTCTTGCCAAGTAAAGTACTGGTCAGCGTGAGAAGCATGACAGAATCAGGCTCTAAACTATCATCTTCTCCAAAGTTGTAATAAGTAACACATCACTTATACAGCACTGCCCACTTTCAAAGCTCTTAAAATATTAATCTTCATAACACTCTTGTAGGCAGTTTAGCCAAACTCAAACATTTAAAAGTCATAAATCAGACCTTAAACCAGATCTTAAAAATGAGATTTAAACCATCCTCCCTAACTCCCCGAAAATTGAGTGCTTTTGATTTACCTTCTGTTTTGTTTTAACCTTTAGAGTATATTCAGTTCATGTTTTCCTCTGGAACTCTGAAGGCTAGAGAAAATTTTTCTTTTAAATGAAAGCTGACACTTGCACATAAATCATTTGTCTTCTGTAGCTAGGACTTTAGGTACCACACCAAATATTGTGAGACTCTCAATAAAATCAAGAAATTCAGAAATTCTTGGTAGTTGTATTTTGTTTGCCCCCATCTTACAGATGGTGATACCGAGGCTCTGAAGATAAGTGGAATTTTCAAAGATGGTCTTAATTTGAGTGCTTAACTTTAGCCATCTAGAACAAACCTACAGTGTGTAAGTGAGACATCAGTTGGAACTGTTGGTGCTCAGGACCCTCTGAAAATCAGTCCCTGGATTTTTGCCATTGGGCAATCCTCAAAGCACAAACTTTTATGAATGCCATGAATTAGTAGCAGAGCTGGGATTATCATTTCATATTCTACTTCCGAGCCTCTTGGCCTGTGTAGTAAACCTGCTGCATTTCTTTCTGGAGATCACAGCTCTCCCCTAAGATACCAAGGGGAGAAAAGCTTAATGCTTTCACAATAAAAATACAAAAGGAGGATAACAGCTACTTAATTAGAAACCTATTAAAACTCTTCAGTTTATTTTAAATATTAATGAATATAGTTTAACTAAAGGTAAGTTAAAAGTACACCTCTACCCTGATATAACGCTGTCCTCGAGAGCCAAAAAATCTTACTGCGTTATAGGTGAAACTGTGTTATATCGAACTTGCTTTGATCCGCTGGAGTGCGCAGCCCCGCCCCCCCAGAGCGCTGCTTTACCCCGTTATATCCGAATTCATGTTATATCGGGTCGCGTTATATTGGGGTGGAGGTGTAAAAGCAGAAACCCCATCCTAAATGCAGCTGATGGCTGAGGTATTGGAAGGATCTTTGAAATCTGGATGTGCGGAAAAGCCATGTCTGGTTCAGCACCTGGGTTTGAAGAGAACATTAAGAAATGGCTGCAGTAATGCTGTGAATAAATATATTCTGCATGTTCAACTCTCAGATGTTAACTCTGATCTTACACAGTCCTTGTGTTATAAGGAACACAGGTTACAAATCAGAGGTTGTTTGATGTATGCGGAATTAACTCTTGATTTATTATTTTTTTAGTGCGGTAGTACCTAAGAGCCCTAGTCATGGACCATTGTGCTGGATGCTGTACCAAATGCAAAACAAAAATACTGTTCCAATCCCAAAGAACCATACGATCTAAATCTGTTGTAATTCTTTTAATCTAAAAATAGACTATTGTGACTTACCATCTTGCATCTAAGTAAACTGAGTAGCAGCATGAAATATCTTTAATCAAAAAAAAAAAAAAAACATAGTAGAGCAACCAGAGCATACCAGTGAATCTTGACATAAGTTAGAATTTTTTTAAAATTAAAAAAGGTTGATATTACTTATATTCAAATCATTACAGAGACCACAGGGTAGTATTTCTTTCAGTTCCTTGTTTGGTGCTAATGTGTGAGGTTTTTGTCTGGGAACTCTTTGTAATTAAAAAACACCCACTAAGATGAAGCTACGTTTGAGAGGTTTGGGTGATAAATCACTAATTCTATCTGATAGAATGTCCTCTTACCAAGGGCTACAAATTGGAGTCTCTCAGCTGCCACTGCTGGTCATGAGAGGGAGGAATTTGTGTTGTGTTGGGAGAAATTGGATGGGAGATTCTAGTTCCCTGCTGTGCCATAGGCTTAGTTTCTCTGTGCCTTAGTTCCCCAACTGTAATATGAGCTAATACATCCCTACCTTTTAGGGGTGCAGTGAGAATAAACACGTTAGATTGTGAGGCTCTCAGTATAGTAATGGGGGCCATGTAAGTACCTAAGCTAGAGAAATAAAGAACAAAACTGTTCATAAATATGCTAATTAAGCTGTCTGGGGCAGCAGCTGTCACTTTTATGGTCATACTATGGGTAGCACAAGAAGTACTACTACAACATAGATATTAAATTGTAGGCTGTTTCTCCCTATCCCAGTTTCTGGAGGCTCATTCTTGGGGGTTGTGCACTGTAGTCCTCTAAAAAGATACATGAGCCAGAACACAAAATCAATGGGGTTTCTGGAGCTCAGAGGTGAGTGGCTCATGTAGGGTCTAGTATATCACAACTCCTTCCAGGCCTGCTTAAGATGTCAGCTTTGTTCCTGAGCCAAGAGTTGTCAGATGTCAGGTCTGTTCCATAGAAACCATGTAGAAATATTTGTTTACCTTAACCAAAAGAAGGCTGAGGGGGGGATATGATTGCTCTCTTTAGATATATCAGAGGGATAAATACCAGGGAGGGAGAGGAATTATTTCAGCTCAGTACTAATGTGGACACGAGAACAAATGGATATAAACTGGCCGTCAGGAAGTTTAGGCTTGAAATTAGACGAAGGTTTCTAACCATCAGAGGGGTGAAGTTTTGGAACAGCCTTCAGAGGGAAACAGTGGGGGCGAAAAGACCTCTCTGGCTTTAAGATTAAGCTTGACAAGTTTATGGAGGGGATGGTTTGATGGGATAAAGTGATTTTAGTCAATAGGTCAATAACGTGCCATCGCTGGTAATTAGTAACAATGGTCAATGATGGGATATTAAAAGTTACTACAGAGAACTTTTTCCAGAGGGTCTGGCTAGAGAATCTTGCCCGCATGATCGGGGTTCAGCTGATCGCCATATTTGGGGTCGGGAAGAAATTTTCCTCCAGGGTAGATTGGCAGAGGCCCTGGAGGTTTTTCGCCTTCCTCCGCAGCATGGGGCAGGGGTCGCTTGCTGGAGGATTCTCTGCTATTTGAAGTCTTTAAATCATGATTTGGGGACTTCAATAGCTGAGTCAAGGGAGAGAATTATTCCAGGAGTGGGTGGGTCAGCTTTTGTGGCCCGCATCATGCGGGAGGTCAAACTAGATGATCATAATGGTCCCTTCTGACCTTAGAGTCTATGAGTCTATTTAATGTGCCCCAAGTTTGAGCAAAGAGGAGGATATGGTAGCTAATAGAATCTCAGTAGTACAGTGACATTGAATTTCTTCAAGATGGCCTGCACAAGGGTCTGTCTGTTAGAAATTAGATTATTGTTTTTTACTTCCGTTGATTTTGATGCTTTATTTTGCACCAGTTGGATGATTGAGTAGCAGACTGTGCCTCTTAATTTTTTTAAAGCAGAAATTAGCCACATGGCCAATCTGCAAAGAGTCATGTGTGTATAATCACATTCGCCCTTTTCCTTCTAACTCTGCCTCATTCCTTTCTCTGCTTCTTTTACTTCCTCTCACCATTCCTTTCTAATTTTTTTTTCCTCACTTAAAACAGCTGGCAGAAGACACTTAATGTCATGATGAGTGAACCTGTTAATGACAGTTCTGGACTGGGGAAGCACAAAAAGCATTGGACCTGCAAGATCTTGTAAATGTGAATCCTACAAATAATTCAGGACTGAGGAAAAAAATATATATAAGTGAAATTCAGAGGGTGAGGGTCAAGCTGAAAGGTTAGTGACACTGCCACACAGGAAACCCAGTTATGGAGGAGAAATTTCTTTCTTCCAGGCCATAAGGAAAATGAAGCTATGAGTTCAGCACATGGAATAGGGAATGCTTCCCACATGTCTAGCACTTCCATGTTGACAGGTCCAGAAGAAGCTGCATTCAGACCTCATAGACCAGCTTGGTTGAGTCTCTTTTCTAAAATGTTGATACAAACTGCTTAAATGATTGGTTTTTGAGACTAGCCCAGTTGTCTAGTATCTAAAATTAAAATAGCACAGGGAGG